ACTCAGTTTGCCGCTAGTGCACTTGATTGTCAGGGTCAAGTAGATGTGATATACACAGATATTGCGAAGGCCTTTGATCGGGTTGATCATTATATATTGTTGGCAAAGCTTGAAGCGTTAGGTTTATCAGCCTCTATGTTGACCCTCTTGCAATCATACCTTGCTGATAGGTCATTATATGTTGAATTTGGTGGAAGTAAGTCCAAAATTTATACAGCAACATCTGGAGTTCCACAAGGTTCGAACCTAGGACCGTTGTTATTTCTTATTTTCATTAACGATCTGTCTTTGAAGCTAACCTGTATGCACTTGCTTTTTGCTGACGACTTGAAGATATTTTCGCCAATTCACTCTTCGAGTGACTGTGTGGAGATGCAAAGCAAGCTTGACTTCATATATGAATGGTGCAACAGAAATCTGCTAACGTTAAATGTCAAAAAATGCAAAGTGGTGTCGTATAGTCGGAAGCAGGACCCCATCATATACAACTATAACCTTAATGAAAGCGTTTTAGGAAGAGATTCAAGTTTTAAAGACTTGGGAGTAGTGTTCGATAACAAACTCACTTTTAACGATCACATATCAGATATTGTATCATCTGCATCACGATTGATGGGTTATTGTGTACGTAACTGGTCCGGTTTCTCTAATGTGGACTGTTTAAGAATACTGTATTTTTCATTTATCAGGACTAAGTTAGAGTATGCGTCCTTAGTATGGTCCCCCCTATATCAGAATGCAATTGGTAAACTGGAGGCTGTACAACGTAAAGCTCTAAAGTATTGGTATTTTAAGTGCAGTGGTAGATACCCGGAAAGAGGATTTGATCATGACGTTTTGTTGGAGTTTTTTGGCATTGAATCACTAAGGAATCGTCGTGACGCTCAAGCTCTCACTTTCCTTTATAAGTTAGTGAATAATCATATTGATTGTGGGTTCCTACTGAGTAAGATTAATTTTCATGCTCCCAGATTAGTTGGTCGGCATAATAACATATTTTACTGTGATACACCACGGACGAATATTTTATGCAGATCCCCAGTAATGGTAATGTGTACCTTATTCAATTCAATCTGTAACAGAGCTGATGTATGTCATGATAGTCTTAATAAAATATTAAACATTTACAGGGAGCAATTGAGATAAAATCGTTTTGTTGATGGTGTCAGTTATTGTTATTCTTCAATTTGAGCACTTTTATGTTTTTTTTTTCTTCTCTTTTTTTGTGAAGTGTTTAATTATTCACCTATGTATTATGTGTTCATTCAGATCACTAATGTTTTTCTATTTTCTTTTTTTTGTTATTATTTTCTGATTCATTGTCTATATATATGTGTATATATGTGTATATGTGTATGTGTGTATACATGTGTATGTATATATGTGTATATATGGTACCATTTTGTTTTGATTTCCTGTGATTGGGTGTATACCTGTTGGAAATAAATATATATTATTATTATTATTATTATTATTATTATTATTATTATTATTATTATTATTATTATTATCAGGAAGTGCTTTATACTGGTTTAAAAACTATTTGTCTAAGAGGATGCAACTTAAAAAAATTGAACATACGTTAGGTGTTCCACAGGACAGAATCCTTAGGCTCCTTCTTTTTTATTTTATACATCAACGATCTACCTGCCATAGTCAAAAAATGCAAAATGCAGATGTTCGCTGATGACACTTTGATTTATTCAAAGTACTCAAAATATTCAATTGTTAGCAACTAACAAACTCAAATTAAATACAAGTAAAACGACAGCTATGTTAATCGGAAAAAAACAATGTATACCATAAATGTTCAACTTAATATTAATGGTGAAGATATTGAATTCATAAAAAATTTTAGATACCTTGAGGTTTTTGTTGACTCTCAATTAATTTTTGATATTCATTAAGAAAAAAATCATTAACATGATTAGTAGTTATATGGGATATTTATTAAGAAATTCTGCATGTCTGAGTTCATGTAACAGAAAAGTTATCTATAATACTATCATTCTTCTAAATCTCTTGTACTATTCGACTATTCTATATTTAGCTGATAATTCCATTTTTGAAAGACTGCAAAGTTTACAAAACAAGTGCATGAGAATAATACTGAATAAAGATAAATACACTCCAATTAGACAAATGCTTAGCAAATTGAAATGGCTCAAAGTAAAAAATGTTATCAAATATCTTTATATTCATTTATAAAACAAAAATAATATAGGTATTTTCACCATGTCTAAAGCCAATCATCATTTACATGATACCAGAAATAAAGATAACTGCCATTTAATGACCAAAAAGTATAACATATGCTACAAATCTGTATTCCATCAAGGGTTGATTGAATATAATAAATTATATACTAAGATAAAAGACCAGAAAACTTTGATAAAATTCAAACTCAAATTGGGAAATCACTTGTTAAATCTGCATTTATAGCTTGCCCAGCAATTACATCATATGACTTGAATTTACTAATTCTAAGTTGTTTATATATTCTGTTTATGTTGCCAAACATGCAAAATAAATATTTCTACTGCTGCTACTGTTACTACATATAGAAGGTGTTAAGTTAATGTGACCTATTTGCAGCTGCATGAGTATCCTCAATTTCTGGATACCCTATATTTGGGGTAAATCTTGTTGCATATTAGACCCTCTACCTTGTTCTTGAAATAATATGACAAGACAGGGTGTCCGCAAAGTTGGGGTTTTCCTTTTCAGAAACAACTACCCTTGAAATAACAAAGGTAATGTGTAGTGAAACGAGGGCGACCAAGTAAAAAAAATAAAGGAAAAAGTACTCACTCTTCAGTTGACAAGAAGGGCTAAGTACGTCTCTGCCCGAAATCATACCGCTCCAACAGAAAATGAAATCAGCTGATGCGCTACCGAGCAGACGCAGGCAAACAAGGAAGGCAAAATGTTGCCTAAAAAGTCTAGGTATTGCACCCCGTCCAATCGATTTGGGAGAATAAATGGTCCAATGAGCATACCGTTCACCATGCCAGCCCAAACATTCACCGAAAATGTTTGTTGAAAATGTGTCCGACGGACAGCGTGCGGATTTTCTACTGACCAAACATGAGTGTTCCGAATGTTATTCACCCCATTACGCGTGAACGTAGATTCGTCTGTCACCAATATGCACTTCAAAAAGTCCGGATTATTGTCATGTTGATGCAACAACCACTCAAAAAACGGCACTCTTGCTGCGTTTGCCACACTTTAGTTTTTGATACTTGCACTTCTCTAGCCACGTCTCTAGTGCTTGTTGAGGGATTCTCGTCTACGCGATTACCTCTACACGAGTGACCGTAACCGTCGATTGAAGGTTGCATACTGACCTGACACACTGACCCCGACCCAGTTCTGTCGTCGGGTTGAGCTAGTGTCCTAGTACCAGTCGGGGATGTCGCGGCTACAGGACGGTATTCGGATATTTTTGATGTTGCAGAGCCCTTTATCTCGGTTCCCTTAAGACATTGGTGTATATGGTACTAAGAAAAATTGCTTATGTTTGTAAGATCTACACATCGTGTAAAGGAAAACCCCAACTTTGCGGACACCCTGTATATCAGTAACCCTAGTGTGATCAAAATATAAAAGGAGTTTCAAGCTTAATTTCATGTATAGGTCCTTTCACGGTTTTTGGCTGGTCACATTATACAGTCTATGCGCGGACGTTTGTTTAGTTATACTCAAAATCATAGGTTCTTAGTTTAGGTCTAACCACCATGAACATTTTCGCGGGAACCTACGAGTCTTCCACGTTTATGCTTGTCAGTGTCATCATGACAACTTTCTTGTTTAGAACAATATACAACTATAATTTTGACAGTTTGTGCTAGAAATATTTTCAGGAAAGTGAGTGAAAAAACAGTCCTCTCTCACCCAATTCATGAGTGTGTGCAGGAGCAAGTAGCTGTTGCATTATGAATCAGTTGTGCAATGTACAATTTCCCTTAAAAAGGGTAGGTTATGCCTTATAGCTACTGATGTTAGAATACTTTTCATTCATTTTTAGCCTGTAACTTTATTTCTGGCTAGGTGAAAAGTGCAAAAAACCGAATTTTTGACGTTCATGAGATAAAATCAACCCCTTCGATAGGTCCAAAGAAGATGGGATACATGTCGTGTTATAGCTACGAATTTTTTCAGAAAAATGCTAAAACACGCACCTTTGTCATTCAAGGGGTGAAATCAACCCCTTTGACAGATCCGAGAAAGAAGGGATCTATGTGACCTTATAACTACTATTAAAACACTATTCATTAATTTTTAGCCTATAATTCTGTTTCTGACTAGGTGGGAGATGCAAAAAGCTGCCTATGATCTGAGGGTATAACCTACATCAGGTAGGAAAAAAGTAATCTGTATTCTAGATCTTATATAAATGATGTGCTTTATTCATTTTCATTACTCAACAATGCTGTTAGCTTCTTTGAAAATCTCCATACCTCTTTGTAAATATTTTTGCACTTAGGGTGAATATACCCTTTTTGATGCTGTCTGTTGCTAAAATTAGCTAGAAATAGGAGCAATCATTAAAAAGTCAGTAGTTGGTACAAAAAAAGGCTGCTAACTTCATACAAACTCCCAGAAGAATTAGCTGCTAGAAACTGGCTGCTAACTTCACACAGATATTTTTCAAAAAATGTTATTCATGTAAGAAATGTGTGACTTTGTGAACCTCTTTCTCTCAACATATATTGAATTTTAAATAAAGTATTGAGTAGAGGAACATTTTATTGCAATAGCATGCAGTGGTGACTACAGGCAGTAAGCAAGAGAGGCAGCCACCTCAGATTGCAGTGTCATGCGGCATGCAAAATCCTCAATTAAAGTTGGGGAAAAGGCACATATTTTATAGTTTGCCTCAGGGTGCATAAAACTTAGAAGAATTGGAGATTGAAACACACTAAATCAGAATATATTATTACAAGTAAAAATATAATTGGAAGGTAAGTATACATGGATTTAAGAGACTTTCTTACCTTTATCTTCCATTAGACCTTGAGTTAGCAGTCTATCCTGATATAAGATAAAAATTAATCGCCATGTATTCCTTTCTCTTTCTATACATAACTCCTCTTCTATCTGAGTTACTGCCACTTTAGATTTAAATCCTTGTATTATTTTTAAAGCATCAGAGCAACAACGACCCAGGTCTGATACTACCTCTAAGATATCATGTCTACCTTAAAAAGATATATGAAAAAAATCAACATCTTGACTATATATGGAGAGAAAGATACTTAAAACAAAGAATATTGGATGATTTTTTCAGAAAAATAAAGTAACAGTGAGGGAGTTCTCAAAATACTGTAGCATCAGATTTAATAAGAAGTGATATGTCGGTATTTTTGTATATTTAAAAAATCACCATAGTATAACCAAACAGCAATTATCTGTAACTGCTCTGAGTTCTTAGCCATTTTATATTTACAAATCAGAAACATTCAAAAATAATAGCCCTTTCTACAGCTAGATCATTTCCAATTTCTAGAGTTTATCAAATCAGTAATTACACAATCTATTTGACTGCTGACTTCACTAAATATATGATATCCCTTTCTTTGTAACTATCACTGTTAAAATATTTTCCATTCATTTCAGTTTTTACCAATGCTATGAAGAGTTTCCTAATGTTGATAAAATCATACCTGAATGACCCTGAAGGATTTCAAAAAACTCTATGTACAAGCAATTCAGAGCAACAGTCCACGGCATCTCCCTTTTTTGTAATACACTGCCAGATAGCATATTAGTTTTATTCATAATACTTGCCAACGTTCTATCATACATGGAGGATTCATCATTTCTAAGTAAATTGTGTCGCTCAAGATTTGTGAGGGTAAGCGAAACATTTGTTTCATGTAGGGTTCTTCTCCCCGGTAGTTTGAATAATCCTCTAGTTGAAGTGATAGGGCATCCTCCAAAAGCCTCACTGAACGTTCCAGGTCATCCAGGATTATTTTATAAGTACGTATAACAATGTATATGTCAATGAACAAAATTAAACATAAGCCTTTGGTAAACTCTTCTAAACACGATCACATTCGAAAATACAAACACAGTTTGGTTAAGGTTTAAAATTAAGTGGGGAATCATAAAACATATACAATAAGAATAACCTGTGTTATGAGCAACGGTTATATGAGTCAAGCGCAACGGTTTGTGATAGACACGAATCCTGAACGCAATCATAACCGCTTTTGCATTTGTTTATTTGGCGTTAATCTCTGTTTAATCACTTATTAACATGTTTTTCTGTCTAGACGAATAAGAATAAGAAAATAACAGGAGTTTACAGTTAATGATAAAGCTTTGTAGCTATAATAACTTTCAATTCTCTAAAAATTTCCGCATGTCAAAGAAAACATTTATTGATTCAGCAGAAATGATGAAAAAAGAAATTAGAAAAACCGTATACAGGTGGATATCATCTAGTGAGTTTATATGGCCATATTTTAATATTCTTGTTGTATATGGCTACACAGGATACTTTGTTAAGGATAGGAACTAGATTTAAAGTGTCCCCAACAACCGTAATGAGTATAACTAACAAGGTGCTCCACTTTATGGTAAAACTGAAGTCAGCCTGTATCATTTTTCTCAAAAATGAAGCTGAAGTACAATAACAATATCCAATACCCGGAAAAATTCTAACTTGTCACATTTCAAATAATAACCAGAAATATAAAACTACTCTTGAGTTGGGTAAATACCACAATTTTGCGGTGATAACTATGACATATAACAGCTGATTCGTGACGTCACGGATCTTATAACCAAACTGATAACTACACTCGCTTGAACGGATTGGTAAATACCAACCCAAAATGGTAAATACCATTTCCATTTGGTTATCCGCTTGAATTTGATTATACACTGAAGAAAGTACAGTCCCGTGCTCATTGAGCAACACGGTTGACTTATGTCAGTGTCAAGCGCTAATTTTTTGGTGATAACACGTAATTGCCAGATTGTGGTCGGACGCCACATGCAACATGGCCAGCTCTTTGCATAAATCTGAGATTATATAATTTTATAGTGACATTTCTAATGATATATGGAAGATTTTACAATGCCATGTGTTATTAACATAGTTTTGCTGTATTGACAAATAAGTAATCACTTATCTGTTAAAGCAGCAGCGTCAATAATACAGGTCATTATAAAATCATCCATATATCCTATATTCAATTGTAATTTTGAGAACAGTCAAAAACCTTTAGCTGAGAATATATTTTTATCTAAATTTAATATTGTATGAACATGTCAATAATACTTATAGTCGCGATATTTTCATTCCTGGTGATGGTCTTCTGCAGCACCTACAGAAAAGTTGTTAAAATTAGTGATGATTAGAACAAATTATTGTCAAAAAGAAATATAATAATTGTTACTAACGACTGCAAGGTTACTAGAGTAACCAGATTTTCCATAAGAATTATAAACTTGAAATATCTAATCACATTTCCATTACATTGATAATCAGAATGTAAAAGTTTTGTGGAAAATATGATTATGTATGGTTCAAGCATGTTGACTACATATTATCAGGATATCTGACTTTTAATTCATTCTATCAGCTTTTTTTTAACTATAAATATTTAAAAAGTAATCAAATCCTTGACGTGAATATTCAAACCTCCGGAAACTGTTGTAAGTTTCTTATATCAACCACAGAATACCGATATTAACAGAGTATCTCTACAAATCACTCAATTTGATATAAACTTACTTTAGCAATGATTGTGAAACATATTAGTCGTGATCCTGGAGCATTCAATTGTCCAGATATATGCACTCACTCACCAGGAGTTTTCAGTGGTACGAAGTGTCATCGACTCTGCTTCTGAATGTTTCATTGCGCTCCGCATATGTAACTTGAATTAAGCAGAAATCTTCAAAAGTCGTAATGTTCTAACAAATACATCCTCCCAATGTGGAATAAAAAATATGTTGATAACACATGGCCGTTATAAAATCTTCCATGTACCATTAGAAATGCGCACTATAAAATTATACCTCAGATTTATGCAAAGAGCTGGCAACGTTGCCTGTGATGTTTGTGGACAATCCGGCAGCCATGCTGCACCCAGAAAAAATGGCGGCTTGATACTGACACAAGTCAAGCCGTGTTACCCTATGGATAGCACGAGACCTTCTTCAGTGTATGTCTTGTGTTGACAGCTGGCCACTCCCCACTCTCTGGCCACAGCTCTGGTGTCAAATAATAGTCCAGGTATTATCGGCGCTCGGAAAAATGATTTCGATTTTTGCAAAATCTGTTCAAGACCTCTGTGAATAAATCTGCATGTGGCCAGTCCCAACATTGGATCAGAAATTTTTCTTAAACGGTTTCCAAAAATTAATTGGTTTGCTCTGGTGAAAATGTTTTGCAGTTTGTGGAGCATTCTGGCAAACATGTGCTTTATAACTTTTCTCTAGAGTTGATATATATAAGCTATGTAAACATACTATATGCTACCCTAAAAAACAAAAATAAAAACGAACATTTTAATATCGCCAAACTTCCTGAACACGCTTCAACCAAACAATAAAAACTCAGAGCATTAGGAGTTACGGCTATTCTAAAAATATTTGTAATTATGAATTGAGTATAGGCTCAATGTATAGTCTCCGTGTGTGCGAGAGAGAGAGAGAGATGTGCCGATACCCCTCGAGCACGCTGAATATACATTAAGCTTGCGCAAACAAAGGTTCGTAATAATATGTAGTATCCCCTAAAAGGCTTTCCGATTGTGTTGATGGATATTTATGCACTTTGGCAAAATTAACATTTTCGCAAGTTAAAGTTTAGACAAAAATTGGAAGCATCGTTTTGTTTCAGAATATTCCAAAAAATTGAAGATCATCTGGAATAAAGTAAAGAAATTTTTGGAATTTGTTTGAAAAAAGTTGTGGCAAAAACGTTATTACCCCGGGTCTACCTGTATTTCATCAACTATCCCTATAAGTTCGTGTACATTTTTTTCTACGTGTTAAAATCCATAACATATTTAAAAAATAGACAAAATTATTCATCTATGAGGGGACCTTTTTAAAAACAAAAATGTATAACGTCCTGACCCCACGACTACAAAAATGTCTCCAAAGACTGTATACGTTAAATTGCTGTACATCTTGGCGTTTAAATATCGCGCTATACAAAACAATGCGTGGATATGCCCGGATATTTGCTATTTACACGGATCGCTCCGACGAGGTTTTGCATGACATCAGTATCATCCAACATACAATACGACGCCACGACGCGCTGCAATATGTGAATTGGATCGAATGCGCGTCAGCCCGTCGTTAGTGTGTAGAGTGTTTTAAAACGTCGTGAGCCATGACCGTTAGACGATATGCGCGGATTCAAATCTGTGGAGAAGCAGACGCGTCACAATACAAACATTGCTAGAAAAATAACCAGGGGGGTGAAACTCATACGTGCGAATGGGAAACAAAGCAGTGTTGCTGGTTCACAATATGACAACCATGCCGCCCCTCAAAAAATGGCGGCTTATTGACAACTGACGTCTGATTGGTCCATTGACATGTTAAAGGTTATGGACCCGCCCGTACCTATCCTTATACGTACAGCTGCTTGCAGCCAACGTTAGAAAGAAACATCCGAGAGAGAGACGGAGCTAACGCGGGCAAAAAGCCGCGCGCTTAACAAGATTTGGATGGTTTTAAAGTTATATCTTTATAAAAATAGATTTAGGCAAAGGGAATGGGATTTTTATACTTCTACTCGATAAAAAAACGATAATATATATAATATTAATTTTTATTCACGTACTTACAAAACAAAAACCTTAATCTACAGAATACAGTATGAAAAATTCTTAATGATAATTATTGATATTACAAAAAGTTATTCTATATAAAAAAAAAGAATTATTGATGGCTAAAGGTGATAGTTTTGGTCAGATGTTGCCTTATTCTATAGCGCGGTTCATTTTTTGTAGTGTTGATGTGGTGTATTCTAATTGAAAAGTAATTTTTTAATATAAGCCTAATTAATTGCAGGCAATGGATCCTGATCCTGGAAATGACTTTTCAAGCCAACGAATAGTGTGTCGAAAGTTTGATTCTGATTTGATTAAGCCTTCTGCACATATGCACACTTTCACAACATCTCTGGATGGCTTACAGAGACCTCCTCGATTTTTTTTATTTAAAAGCAGCGACAAAGAATTGTCCGAAGTTAAAGCATTAGCACATTCATTACAATTTAATGCTTTAACTAATTTCTTGCTGATAAACCCAGCAATATATTCAACAATGTCACAAATATATGTGCAGTTGGCAATTGTGTTATAGTTTTTAATGAATAACTCATCTTCCGCATCTGAAGATTCTGTCTGTTCATATAATAGTCAGTAGTAAAAATTGAGTTATTTTTGCTTTCAATGGTAACATTTAAAATCGAGGTATTGTCCTGTGCCAGACAATTTGCACTATCTGAGGTAGTTATTTCACTATGAATTAACAGTCTTTTATATGCATTTTCGAAATGCCAGGCAGTCGGGTTGTTCGAAAAGCCTCCCCTTGAACGGATTGCTGAAAAAAACATTTCAAGATGATCTTGACTTAGCTTATAAGTTAATAAAAACTGTAACTTATCACCCTCAACCACATCTTCAAATAAATTCCTAACACTTAACAAACAAACAATGAGTCCTAGAAAACCAGTTTTCCTGCCTGTTTCTATTACTTTATCGTGCTTTTGATCTGTCAATGAACTTAAATATTCTACAGATTCTTTGATAAAATTTTTGAAGGTTTCGCTGTTTCCCTTGAAAAGAGGCCTTTTACAAGGAGTTTTCCCATAGAAATTTCTAACATTTAAAACGTCAAAAATATTGTTAATTTTTCGACAGAAAGAAACAGTTGCTTCACTACCTCTAAATTTTGTAATATTCAAGTCCTGATTACAGTATTCTAGGGCATCACCAACACTAGCACTAAAGGTCTGGACAGCAAGCTTCACTTTCATTTTTTCTTTGTAATAGTTAATATGTCGAGACCTTAGTCTAGTGGCACAATGAAGCCCTGATTCCTCTTGCAGCTTCACCAGTTCTTTAAAATAATACCATTTAATGGAGTCTCCATTTCCATCACATAATATGCCCCAATCACCCAAAGTATTACGTACTAATTTAATCATGTGGCATGCGTCCAAAATGATATGTACTTTTTCCTTATTCACTGGGTTTATGAAATGTGGTTTCATTCCAGGAAAACTGAGCTTTGCTCCCAGCAAATTTGCCATCGAAATGTTGGATGCACACCCATCAAATGTGATACTTTTAATCAGCACCCCAGTTGTTTCCAACTGAAGGAAAGACCCTTTAATTAACATTGCCTTTTCTTCAGCAGATAAAGCATCTACTAAAAAATAGGCAATGGGAACCTTCCACCTTGTATTGTAACCTACAAGCATTATCACAAATACATGTTTTGCATGTGGTAGTTGGTCACTATTCTGCATACCAGTTCCATAATCAATGTATCCAACATTCCTACTACCAGTCCAATGTACATGCTCACGAATGGACATCTCGTCAATCACAAGACCTGCTATAAGTTGCTTTCCTTTTCCTTTTTCAATGTCAACTTTCATTTTGACAGCCCGTATTGCTTCTGCACTAAACCCCGGTGTACCATCTACAGTAGAATACCATTTTGTTAGTGTTCTAGGATGCGGGAGAGAATTTTTGCCAAACACTTTTCTAACATACTGATATGCAGAAGAAGAATAAAAATTTAATGTTAAAGCAAAGCATCTCAGTTGAGGGCTATATTTTCCTCCTTTGATGCCCTTTTTGAGGTGCCTAAACAGTACGGCTTTTTGTACTTCAGGAATACTTTCCTAGAAATATAAAAAAGAACCTTGCTTAAACAATGGTAATGGAGCCTGTTAGTGCGCTGCTTTCTTCATGGAGCATATATACATACTATACAATCAACTATACATATGTGTGTATGTGCCTCGCATTCTTCCCATGAGCAAGTAATTATTCTACTGATCAAAGGATTTTATTGTGCAGCAGCTGAACATTAAGAACAAGATGCAAACTACTAAGTATTTACAGAAAACAAACAAACCAACTATGTGTGATGCAAAAAAATAAATAGTTTACCTTCAATACCATGAGCTGCTGTGATGAAATTTTCTCTTTTTCCATCAATTCGTCCAACAATAAATTAAGGCTTTTTATCTTCTTCTTTTGTCTTCTGGCTATGCACTGATAATACCTGATATTTCTCCTAGACTTTGCTATAGTATGATGAGCTACCTTCCAAAATCTTTTTCTCTTCTGCACATCATCTAAATCACTTTCTTTGAAGTCCCCAAAGAAAATTGGATCTCTTCGTCTTCTAAAACAATAAGAAACATTTAACACATAATGAAAGAAACTAATTTCTGATCTGTAAATTCATTTAATAAATGCTTAGGTAAGCAAGTAGATAGAAAATAAATAGCAATAACTGTTATCCTGTTACCTTTTAGGGAATTCCATTTGAGATGTAGTAGTAGGTTGCTCAGAATCTATATCCTCATTTTCAGCACTGACAGATTCACTTGACATAACTCCTAATACTGGTTCAGTATTTATGCCTGATGTACTGGCAATAGCACCATGTTCTGTAAATAATATTAATCAATAGATGGTTCAGTCATTACTTATGTACTGAAGTGCTAACCTTTGTTATCAGATATCTTTCGTTTTAAAGGTCTCCTTATTACTACTTTTTGCTGTAAATGTACGGGGAAATTAAAAACAGAAGGCACTGCAGTTTTCTTGAGAACTGTATTTCCATGTACATTTAGCTCAAAATCGTCCTTTGTAAAGTGATTTTCGCATATAACTGTCCTATCACTCGGATTAAAATTCTCCCTTCTTATGGCAACTAACCACTGTTTCCTCCTTGCGGGATCCTTGGGTATACTGAAAGTAGAAAACTCTAGTTATAGCCTTTTCATGACCAAAGTTTCTGTTATTTAATTCTGTAATCTTTGCCATAACCACTGGCCATAACCTACCTCAGAAATTTTAATTTCACCCCTTTTTCTCTTCTGGTCGTACAGTTTATAGCACAACAAGACTGCACCATCTTGTAATTGGTTTGAAGTTGTGAAAAATCAACAATTAAAACTAATTTCAAGGCAAAAATATGAGTAAAGCTTTCCACAGTGAAAGAAACACATCCACAATACAGATCTAACGTACGACGTTTGCCCACGTTAGCTCTATCCTTCACGTGCTGTCTCTCTTGCACTGCGCCGGCGTCAATTCCAAACGCGAACGGCAGGTCCATAACCTTTGATATGTCGATGGATTGGTCAGATTTAAATTTCCGGCGGATTTCTTAAAATCAAGTCCAAGCGAATAACCAAAATTTCTGTGTTATGTGCCGCGGTTATAATATGGGCTGTGATATGGTTCAAGATGACACACGGGTTGATGACGTCAGTTACACAAATCACTTGAACGGGTTGATTTTAACCGCGGTTTTGTTGCAAATTGTTTATTTTAGAAAAGCGGGTATATAATCTCTGATTACTTTTATTATTATCACTTAATAATAGGTGCTTTTTCGTCTACAACTGTGTATGGAAAGTTTAAATAAGAAACCTTTCATAATATTCATTTGAGAAATGTTTTTTTCAGATTTTTTTTTAATGATGGAACCATGGCTTTTTAGCTATGATAAGTTTCAATTCTCTAAAGTTTTCCGCATGACAATGAAAACATTTATTTATTCAGCAGAAATAATGAAAAAATAAATTAGCAAAACCGTATACAGGTGGACATCATCTAGTGAGTTTATATGGCCATATTTTAATATTCTTGTGGTATTTTATTATTTTTAAGCTTAGGAACTACATTTCAAGTGTCCCCAACAACAGTAATCAGTAAAACTAATAAGGTGCTCCACTTAATGGTAAAACTGAAGTCAGCCTGTGTCAAGTTTCCCAAAAATGAAGCTGAAGTGCAATAACAATATCCAATACCCGGCAAAATTCAAACTTGTCACATTTGAAATAATAACCAGAAATATAAAACTACTCCCGAGTTGGGTAAATACCACAATTTTGCGGTGATAACTATGACATAACAGCTGATTCATGACGTCACTGATCTTATAGCCAAGCTGATAACCACACTCGCTGGAACGGATCGGTAAATACCAACCCAAACTGGTAAATACCATTTTCTTTTGGTTATCAGCTTGAATTTGATTTTTTAGTATGCTCTGCTCTGTGCTTTGCAAAATATAACCTTAATTCTTAATTTTTTCAACATGTCATTTTCTTAAGATTTCATTTTAATTCAATAAAGTCCTTATTATGTTATTTGAGATATGCCTTTTGTTCGGAGTTGTGAAGTATAAAAATGTAAGTACACAAAGCTGTCAATATTTGTAAATACTATAAGACAAACTCCAAATCAAAACTGTTTCTTTTTTAAGGTGATCCACGTCAGTAGTCAGGCTTCTGGCAGATCCTGAGGAAGATCATAGATGCAGCGGTTAGTCATTTGAGAAATGTGATATTGGAAGATCGTACCTGTTTGTATCTTTACAACACTTTTTGAACAGTGGAGTGCTACGAGAAGTTCAACAGCTGCCATTGTCAACCCTTGAGCTCCTGAGAACTATCAGAAGCTCGAAGATTACTTCTAATCTGATCAAAAGGCACAGCTCTGAAGGATTTTTGCAGACCATAACATTTGTATGTTTTTATATGACTCGATAACCAGTGATCCAAGCCACATGTTGTTATTGAACAATAACATGGGTGCCCCAGGGTGGTGTCAAAGGGGCCATGGTCTTTTCTGGGAATCCACCTTGACTTTAAAGTTTGCATATTTAGCATGCTTTTGTGTCCAAATTTGAGATTTTTTTAGGATTCTCCCCCTCCTGAGAAAATTGCTTCCTCTGCTCATCAAAATATTTTGGGGCAGGTACAATTTCACAAAAAGTTATCTCTTGATGATGATCAGCACCTCTGAGAAAAATTCCTGTGGGTACCCATGGACAGTAATATTATTGTTCCAATAACAAAAGAAATCTGAAATTGTAGTTACATATGAACACAATTCAATGTTTCCTAATCTTTGATTTATGCAGGTGCCAACAAAGGCTGGGGAATGAAATCATCTGGACCATAATGATGTTAATACTGATTTGTTTGTAGAAAAATGTGTCAGATTTATGTAATGAATATATATGTATTTAGGTATTTCCAGTATAATATATATGTTAGCGGCGCCCCTGTGACTACCCATAATTCCCTCTCAAAAGGGTGGAATGATATCCTTATCTTCTGCGACGGAAGGGGAAGCACGGGGGGTCCGGGGACGACTACTACCTGCGATCCCTCGCAGGTAGTAGCGAAGATGACGACAGTCACGTACCTACAGCCAAACAAATTGTGCCTAAATACGGAGTAAATGGTAGTACTCGGAATAAAGTATTGATTGGGGATAGACGTGTATTTTTTTGGGGTAAAAGCCAAATCAAATCTACCCCGTTTCTTACATCAGAAGTGGGATTACATCCGTGCCGCATTTTCCACTTTATATTGGACAAAAAAAAAGGGAACAATGTCGGAAGAAAACAGTCCTCGTCGCGAAAGTGTCGAAGTCGCGTGTAGTGCCGAAGTGGATACCGAGGAAGTGGCTATGTCTCCGCCAACTCCTAAACGGCGGAAAGTTGAGTGGCAGGAGACATTGATGAACTTAGTGGCTGCACAACAGCAACATTTAGCCGAGTTAACTCGGCAGTACAGAATGACATCGTCCGCCCCGCCAACACCCAGGGATACCATCGTAGATGGCACACAGGCTACGATGTCTGGACATACGTCGTTTAGGCTCACTACGTTCGATCCCGACAAAACTGCATACTCCATCGGGGAATGGCTGGATGACGCTACGAAGCTTAAAGATGAACTAGGTATCAGTGATAATTTAATGATTGCTAAGGCTAGCGAAGCTCTCAAAAATCGTGCGTATCAATACTGTTGCGATTGGAGACCGAGATGCCGAACCTGGAAAATATTCTGTGACGACCTAGTGGTAGCCTTTCCAGACCAGGAGACTCCAGGTGCCCGTGCTTTTAAGGCAGCTACACTCCGGAGTAACGATTGTGAAACTTTATGCGAATATGGCAACCAAAAGCTACGTTATATTCGCAGATTCCAAGAAAACTTGCCATGGAACAAGGTACTTAGCATGGTGGAATATGGGCTGGATAACACAGAAGCCCGTTCTACTTTGCACATTCAAATTCCGGACTCAGAGCGAGAGTTAATGAAGCTGTTTTGCGAAATGGATGCGCGCCAAGTTGGCCGGTCAAGCAAATTCAGGAGAGCTAGCGCACTCACAGGAACAACCTACAGATTAGAACATCATTCTAAGAACCACTACAACCAGAAACCAGCTAAAATAATTAAAAGTACTTGTTTCAACTGTGGTCGCAGGGGACATCACCAGAATACATGTCGTGTCGTGCAAATGGACAAAACAGTGAAAGTTGATGAAAAAGCCGAAACTACTGCCGTGCCATCTTGCACTTATTGCAAAAAGATGGGGCACAGTGAATCAAATTGCTGGTCAAAACATGGGAGGCCCAAGAAAGCATTTGTATTGAAGAAACGACGCCAGCTACAAGTTACTCCGATAGCAACATTATTGTGTAATAACAAAGCAACATTATTTACCTACATCATTGACAGTGGTGCCGATGTATCCATAGTGAAACGCTCTGTCATAAGAACAATTAATGGCATTGCCAGGTCATCCGAACAAGTGCGTGCCTTTTCGGGACTCGGGAACAAATCTGTTTACGCCGAGGGTGTGAGCGACCTGATAATCGTTCTGCCAAATGTGACTTTAGAGATAACTTTCACCGTGGTGTGTGACAGTGCTATTCCGGGTGATGTTGACATTATTGGATGGGATGTTATCGGTCGACCATCTGTGCGAGTTGAAAAGAATGCCGATGGCCTGGATTTGCATTGTGAACCAGTTAATGCGATGAAATTGTTCACCCTAAAGACTTCTGTGGATGTTAAGATAAATCAGCAAGGGCTAGATGACAGCTTAAAGCCACAAGTGGAGAAATTACTAACACTCTATAAAAGAAAAACGCCTGATACGATTACAACAGGTAAAATGACCATTCGATTAAAAGACAGTACTCCGGTTTCATACCGTGCACGTCGTTTAGCACTCCAAGAACGAATAGAAGTTAACAAAATAATTGACGATCTTTTGTCTAAAGGAATCATCCGAAAGAGTCGTTCAGAATATGCCAGTCCTATTGTTCTAGTTAAAAAGAAGAACAATGAGACAAGGATGTGTGTTGATTACCGAGATATAAACAAACGTGTTTATAAAGAAATATACCCCCTACCCGTTATCGAAGAACAGGTGAACTCCAATGAGTCTCACGCCAAATACTTCACTACACTAGATATGAAGTCTGGTTTTTATCAAATGGAAATTGAGGAAAGTTCCAGACACATTACGGCGTTTATCACACCAGATGGGCTCTATGAATTTAATCGTATGCCTTTTGGATATGTCAATGCCCCGGCAATATATCAGCGAGCAATTGACGAAGCTTTGGGAGACCTGAAAGGTAATAAGGCTTTTGTCTACCTTGATGATGTGCTCGTGCCGTCGGCCACAATAGAAGACGGCTTGCAATATCTGGAGGAAGTGTTGAGTGCTTTGGCTATTCATGGATTTTCCTTGAACTATGAAAAGTGTAAATTTTTTGAGAAACAGATAGAGTATCTTGGTGTCCTATTGAGTGAAGGAACAATTCGCCCTAGTCCGAGAAAAGTGAATGCGCTAACCCAATCACCTTCTCCGACAAGTGTTAAAGGTATTCGCCAGTTTATGGGACTCGCGGGTTATTTTCGCAAGTTCATTAAGGACTTCTCCATCATTACGGCTCCAATTACGGCTTTGTTACGAAAAAAACCGTGATTTCGAGTGGACTCCCGAATGTGAGCGGGCAAGGCAATTTATTATGGACAAACTAACCAGTTCTCCTGTATTACGAATGTTCAATCCCGCCCTGAGTTGTGAACTTCACACTGACGCGAGTTCAGTGGGACTTGGCGCTGTGCTGCTCCTAAAAGAAGACGGTGATTCGCGACCTGTCGCCTATTATAGCCGTCGGACGACCGATTACGAATCAAGGTATCACT